ATTTGAGTTCATGGCCTCCAGGCTGGCAAGTCATTATCTTAAATGGATTGTTTCCTGATCCAGGATCACATCCTTAGCAAAGAGCCTGAGATCACTTTTACAGAGTAACTAGCCATTTTGATAAAAATCAGGTTGAAACAAGTCCCTCCTCCTACTCCTGTTCTTAATTAATAGAATGACCCATTTTCAGCCACCCAAAGACCTCGCTTCCTTTAAGAACCACTTTTGATTCTAAAAATAAAGGTAGAAAAATATGAAGAAAAACCAGAGCGTTCATAATCAGGACATTTGCTCTTTATTCGTGGTTCTATTAGTGACCCATTATTGCAATTGAAAAGGAGTACTTATTAATAAATATTTTCTGTGTGAATCACCGGTGTGTTTAGGTAGAATGAAGGTACGGTTGATTCTTTGCAGGTAATGGGCCTGACCTTTCAGCACTCACAAGTGCACACGTGTGCTTGTGTGCTTGTTTGTGCTTGTTTGTGCTTGTGTGTGCTTGTGGGTGCTTGTGTGTGCTTGTGTGTGCTTGTGTGTGCTTGTGTGTATGTGTATCTGTTGCTAAGGATTAAACCCAGGGCCTTGCATGCACTGGGAAAATGCTCTGCCACCAAGTGATGTCCCTCTCTCCTCACCACTTTTGTGAGACTTGCTTTTTTGGATTTAGTTCTTCCTAGCTGTTTTGGTTTATGAAAGGCTCGGGAACTGCTGTCATCCCATGGTGACCCTTTACAAGTAAGCCAAATTTGTTGCATAAAATTTAGCAAAGAAATGATAAAGGTGACAATAAAATCAAATGTTCATGTTCTAGAGAAAACTATTAGTTTTCTATTATGGTATTCTACCATGAGTTTTTTGTACTTTAATATCTATTTTTCAAAAATAAAGTTAATTACTTTGTGTATACTCAAGTTTTTCAATTACAGTAATAATAACAATCATGTATGTCACAGATTTTTTTCTAGTATCTAATGTCATTGATGCAGAAGCCTTCTCAACACTGTTCTGAGCACTAAAAATTCATCAGAGCTGTTGCAGCCTGGCTTTTGTAACATATAGAATAATCCACCCCACAAAAACTATAGCCCTGTGCTATATTCCCAGGGTCGTCCTTCAGCCTGCTCGTCTCTACGGCAGTAAACCTTTCCCTTCCGTCCGTGTGGCACATGTATGTGCAGTTGGAAGCTGCAGGAGATGTCATCTTGCCCACTGTCACCACAGTCTCGAGGGCCTGCTTCAGACCTGTTTCTGTGGGAAGTCAGCCACGCCGAGTTTCCGTGACCAAGAGTGTGTGTACACTAAACAAACCCTTGGCTCTCTGTACACAGTTGTTTTCCTTTGTTATGGAGGGGTTGGTTTTGGTGTGTTTCAGTTTTGGGGATGCAAGGGATTGAACGCAGGCTTTGCTTACTACTACTGAGCTCAGTCTCCCAGCCAAGATTAAGAGTTTCTACATACTTCTGTGGACAGTGTCATCTTTTCAGTGAGGACCCAGATTCTAGAAGGCTTTGCCTAAGGTTAAAAAATTGCCACTGAGCTTGGAATTCTGCCCTTGCTGGTCAAAAATTAGCAATATGTTTGCCACAATTTTCATTGGTATCACGTTCCCATTCCTCTAACTTTGGAGGTGGTAGAGTGGCTCCATCTGTTTGTCCGATCACATTTCCTGCTTTTTACATTAGCCATCTTTGGCTGATTCTGTTTGGAATTCCAGTTTTCCAATTCTTTGGGCATCTCAGCTCCCTCTTGGGGAGGCCTTCAGTCCTTTCTCCCCATTTTTACTTCCTTCAGAGATGACCACTGCCAGAGGCAGTCTTGAGTTTTCAGTCCAGTTATAGTCTGTCTGCTTCCTTTGAATGTCAGCTCTCTGATAACAGCTTCTTTGTTTGTCTGCTCTGATTATATTCCTCAGGCCTAAAATTACATCTGGCCTATTACAAGCTCTCAAATATTTAATGTATAATCTTGCTGTGAGGTGATCAGGCTATGATCTAACTGTTCTTTTGCCTAATTTTTTTTCTCATTTTCATGCTTCTGATTCCATTGTTTAGCTTCTTAATCTGCCTCCCATTGTCCTTTATAAATTGCTGCTACTCAAAGTGTACCCCATGGGCAGAAGCAGCACCTGGAAGCCTGTTAGAAATATAACTTGAGTGTCACACAAGCCCCACGAAAGCTGTATTTCTGGGTGTACAGTTTAGGGATGTGTATTTAAACAAGCTCTCCAAACTCTTTCTGTCTCTCTGTCTCTGTCTCTCTGTCTCTGTCTCTGTCTCTCTCTCTCTCTCTCTCTCTGTGTGTGTGTGTATGTGTGTGTGGTCTTGTTGCAGTGATAAAATACCCTTACTAAAGTAACTTAGGGCCAGTGAGATGACTCACTGGGTGGAAGGAAGTCCTTGGCAGGACTGATACTACAGTATATAGCACACAGACAGAATAAAGAATTTAACAGCAACTTATGGAAGAAAAGGCTATTTTGGCTCACAGTTTTGGGGTACTGTCTTTAAAATAGATAGATAGATAGATAGATAGATAGATAGATAGATAGATAGATATTGATATTCATGTCACGAAAGTCACAGTGGCTATAGCTTGAGGTAGCTGGTCACATTGTATCATCAGTCAGGAGACAGAGGGGGACAAATATTGGTGATTGGCTAACTTTCTCTTTTTTATGTAGTCTAGCTCTGCAGCCTAGGGAATGACACCACCCATATTTACGGTGGGTCTTCCCACCTCAGTCAACCTTATCAATCAAGATAACCCCTCACCTGCATGGCCAAAGGTTTATCTCTTTCCTGTCAAATGTACAATATTAGTCACCACAATTGCATTTGGAGAAGCACTGCCACAACCATGCATGTGTCACTTAGGCCAAGTCCTTCCTACAAAGGATCTGGAGGACTAGCATTCACCTTCTAGCTTAGCCCCAGGCTGTTTTGTAAGTGTTTGGTGTAGTCATGGTTTTCTCACCTGCTGTGGTCTCTCTCCAGCCAGCCAGGACAAGACCATGCCTAGACCTGGGTATTTCTCTCAATGTATACAGTAGGCATTCGGGAACTGAAATTTCTCATGGGGAATACAGTAAGCAGTTAGGAAATGAATGCTTGTTATTTTCCTTGTGTGTGGCCCCATCATGGAATAAGTCATCTGTGTGCATCCCCTGAGCTCAACCTTTGCTAGCCTGGAATCCACTGCCCGTGTTTGGTTTCAGAGAGTGCTGACTTATTGAGTTTGATTCTAGAAGTATCGGAGTGCTGCCATTTCACAGCAGCCTAGCGCCTGCACCGAGGCTTCTGCTGCATCTTCTCACACACTCCTTACAGATGTTTGAGAGCTTCTGTTCGTGCAGGGCACAGATACCATCAGCTTCTTGTTATTTCAAGCACATTCGAAATTCATCTTTCTTCTAACTACCTGAGAATTGGTAATTCATTCTGTTCCTCACTGTCCAAGGAGAATTGGTTGTTATTGTTTTACTATCTATTGAAGATAGAACATTCTTTCTTTTTTTTTTCATTGGGGAAATGCATGAGAGAATTTTCATGTCAACCTCAGAGATAATTTTTATGAAGATTAGAAGCATCTGACTTCTTGTGAGAGAAAAGAAATAATAGGAATAAAAAATGTCTTGCATGCTGACCTATTTTCTCCTTCCCACAAATTATCTCTTCTGCATGAGTTCCCAACATTTTCTATGCGAGCAATTCTTTCTGATGTTTCTTTAAGCAGCTGGCAGGCACTTGGGTTCAGTGGGCCAGCTCTTGAGTTTATGCTCATGGTACTCAGGATGATGGCTTCATTTCCATTTTCTGTTACTTTGAATCAGGGAGGGAACCTCACAAGAGGTTCTATGCACGGAGGTTATTTTGGAATCTGGCAGCTTCCTAAATGCTGGGTGTCAGATAGTTCGTGGCTGCAGATGTAGCCTGTCCTGTGTGTTTGTGTGAGTGTTTGTAAGGAGGATGTGTGTGTTGGGGGTGGGAAAGAAGATGTGAGAAGGATGGCACTCTTCCTACCAAGAGTGTGGAATCTTATTAAGAGAAAAACCACACTACAGTTTGTCTGCATTGTAATCTTGCTTCCTTAACAACTGTGTCACTGTCTATAACTTGTTTGGTTTGCCTAGGCTCTTAAAGTCTAAGAATAAAAGACAAAAGTGCCTGGTACCATGCCTAATATGTCCTAGGAAATCAGTGTCCATGTGTGTGTGTGCACGTACACTCGACTGTTACACAATTAGGTAGAATGCGATAAACTACACCCCAAAATGTAGAGCTTTGTTATTACTGTGATTTAAATTCCCAGGGTATTGGGAAGAAAGCAGTTTTCCCTATAGCTTTTCTTACATTTTATGTTCCTATGCCGACTCTTTAATTTTTGCTAGTCTGTTTGATTTACTACATAATATTTAATGCTGTTATTAATCTTTTTATTACTATTCATCTCTATTGATAAAATGTCAATATTTGATACAATAAACTAGAAATGAGAAACTTCGCTCTCAAGGATAATGACTGTGAGTGTGTACCTGTGATAATCTTGTACGCCTTTTAGTCTTTTTTTCCCTTAGCATATGATGATACAAATTAGGTTATACCATATATACAGCTCTATATTCTGACTTTTAATTTAACACTTTATTATGGGAATTTTGTGTTTTTTGCATATATTGTAAATCATAAAATATGATTCTCAGTGGCTAGTGACTATCTGATCACGTGGGTAACCATGGATGGCTACTGTCTGCCTTTTTGGGTGTTGTAAGTGGTGGAGGCCTTTCTACTCTACGTAGGTAGTATTTTTAAGGTGAAAAATACTGACTGGTTGACTCTTGAATGTGCTGCCTTTGCCAAGCGTAAATTACAGTGAGTGTGTAGGAAGGCCATCCAGGGGAGCTCTGATTTCAGGGGAGCTCTGCCTTCTCTGTACCAGGTACTTTCGTGCCCTAAGCCTTAAGCCAAGGTTCCAGATCTCTTACGGCATGTTATCTCTTACAGTCCTATTGCTATAGGTACCGCTGTGCCGCTCGAAGCCAGAACACACCAGATAGCTCTGCATCCAACCTGGGATTCCGTTGTGCGGCTGACCATCTGCCCTCTGTGGACTGACAGCCAACGGGAGCCTTTCCAGATCCAGGAAATGGTTTCTAACTTGCAACCGGCTTCCTCCCGAACTCCGAACAGATCTTGTATAGAGAATTCCCACTTCAAGAGAGTAACATGTCTGCCCAGTGGCCAAAGGAACTGTCTCGCGTGACCAAATTGCTGACGTGTGTCAGTGCTTGTGCTTTATTGTGTGGTGCATCTTTGGGGATCATCGCCATGTTTTCCTTTGAGAGCCTTTTGAAGAGGAAGGAGAGAGCTGAAAACCTTGAAGTCTTGCCCAGACTCTGCCACAGGGCTAGGCCCTGGGGTCCGTACTTCATCTGCCTGGGCTTCTGTCCCCATCCTCAAATGAGGGGATGGACAACAAGGTCTCTGAGACTCTCTCCAACTCACAGATTCTATGTGTAAGAGCAGAGTGTATTGTGATTGCATAGTGAGAATTTATGGCAGATTATTTTTTAGCTATTTTTTCCATGTGTGAACCATGGGTTATACTAATGATATAGGGTGAGAATCTCTTCTATATTATTTTCAGGAAAGGGTAGGGTGTGAGTCTTTTATATCCCTGCTGCACTTTGGTCTTTTGTGGAAGTCAGTGTCTTTTACATTGTTGTGACAAATCTCATGTGGACCAGTGATGGGGACACTCACGTTCAGAGTTCTGAACACACAGGAATGCCTGTGGAGTGACTCTACTGTCCTTTATCTTTTAGCATTAAGTGCCTTTGGCTCAGAGGGACAGTTTGAAGCCCTCTTTCCCTTTCGCCCCTAAGCCTTCAGAGAATGTGAAATGTGTACTAATTAGGGAAAGTGTTGAGTTCCGGGTACGAGGGCCTTGAACAGACTGCATTCAGAGTGTTCATTATATTGTACTAGAGAGATGGGAAGTCTCGTTGACTTTGAGATACCAGATGCTTTGAATCATGCACTATGTCAAATAAACTGGTACCCCCCATCAGACTTCACTCTTTCTTCCTTGCTCAACTTTTTTCTCATTCCCTCCTTTATGTTTTCCTTTTTTTAAAAATGTGATGCTTGTATGTTTTGTTTGCTAGAAAATGATTTTTACATCCAGAAGTTCGTTGATACTTTTGATCCATGGGTATTTGTGGCATTTTTATTCTGTGAAGCAAGGACATTCTGTTAGGAACCCATTATAACCTTGCTACTTCTTGCCACAATAGAGGATGCAAAGTCAAGGGCATTGCTTTGGTGAGCAGATGCGTCAATGCCAGGAAGACACTTCTTTCAGAGCAATGGCTTTCAATCCAACAGCCCTGTTCTTAGAATCCACCCAGGTTTCCGGGTCCCTGCGCTGTTTTTAGCCCAGCAGTTGAAGAAAGGCTCATCTTCATGTTAGCTGTTCAAAATGTCAATCAAGTAACTATTCAACACTGTTGCTGTTACCCTTTATTTTAAAAGCTACATTAGTGTGTGAGTGGTGTAGGAGGTCCTTCTGTATTTGTGCTGCTTTCAGTGGTTATTAAAGAAACTGCCTTGGCCTAGTTGATATGGCGGGACTCAGGTAGGAGAAGACAGAACAGAATTTTGGGAGGAAGAAAGCAGAAACAGGCAGACGCTGTGAAACTCCTGTCTGAGACTGACGCTGGTTAGGGTTTTTCCCGGTAAGCCACGACCTTGTGTGATGGAGGAAGGTCATTGGTTAATAAAGAAACTGCCTTGGCCCATTTTATTGGTTAGAACATAGGTGGGTGGAGTAAACAGAACAGAATGCTGGGAGGAAGAGGAAGTGAGCTCAGACTCGACAGCTCTGCTCTCTGGAGCAGAGGCCATGCTCCCCTCTCCACGGCAGACACAATGAACTCCGACCCAGGATGGACGTAGGCTAGAATCTTCCCAGTAAGCACACCTTGGGGTGCTACACACATTATTAGAAATGGGCTAGTCCAGGTGCGAGAGTTAGCCAAGAAGAGGCTAGATATAATGGGCCAAGCAGTGTTTAAAAGAATACAGTTTGTGTGTTATTATTTCGGGTAAAGCTAGCCGGTGGTGGGAGCCATGCGAGACGAAAAGCAGGCCCGCAGCTCATACTACACTAGTGCTGTTACACAGATTGGTAAAAATGGGTTAGACCAGGATGTGAGAGTTGGCCAAGAAGAGGCTAGATATAATGGGCCAGGCAATGTTTTAATTAATACAATTTCTGTGTGGTTATTTCGGGGGCTAAGCTCATCGGGCAGTGGCACGCAGCCCTCACCTCATACTACATTTGAGCACATGTGTACTTGTGCATGCACAAAGACAGGAAGACAGCTGGTGGGAGAGTCTGCTGTGGGTCTTCGGAACCAAACACAAGTCTTCAGGTTTGGTGTCAAACATCTTTAGTCTCAGAGCCATTTTACTAACCCACCTTTGGCTTTTGAGATAGGGTCTCACTCTGTAACCTAGCCTGGTCTGAAACCCACTAGGTTGACCTTGAACTCCCTTTTTTGCCTCAGCCTTCCAAGTTCAGAATTATTGGCATGCACTACCATGCCTGACAGTGGCTGTGTATTTATGCAACCTCTGAACAAAGTAGTCATATATATGTGGACACATTTATGACCATTTTGTGAATATAAACTGTTTCTCTAAAAACTTGTAAGTGATGATTAATCCCACTCAAAAGGAAAAAAATAACAAACATTTGTAGGAAGTGGCTTCTGTAGGAAATAAGGTTTTTATTTTTAAAGTCTCTACTACTCCTGTACTGTTTTTATTTTTACTTCTTACCTTCCACCTTTGTTTATGTGTATGCGCGTACATGCACACACACACACACACCTGTAATGTGCTTTACATCTTTATAGAGTATATATTTTGGCCTCTTTTCCCTGTTAATTAATGTTATGCATCATAAATATTCTTGAGTAGTTTTGGGCAGTCCTTCTAGCTGCATTTTTAGCAGCAGCATGGTACTAGAGAACATTTCATCAAAATCCTAGCATATTCTAGGATTTAAGAACCACATATCTAGGTGACTATAGCATACTCTCATAATATTACACATCGACATATGAATAGGCAGAATGTAATAATAACAGTTTTACATTTCCGTCCAATAAATGAGATTCTGAATGTGTTAGTTACTTGTCTTATACTTGGACCTGCTGATTCTGGGCTTGTGGTGGAGACAGATCATGGCAGCAGAAGCATGTAGAAGAGGAGGCTATTTACTTTGTGGAAGACAGGAAGCAGAGAGAGGTAAGGGACCCTAGGGATAATGTTTGCAGAAACACCTCTACTGACCTGCTTCCTCCAGCTTGGTCTTATCTTGTAAAATTTCTGCAACCTCTGAAAATAGAACCACCAGTTGGGGACTAAATGTTCAAAACCTGAGTTTGGATGGCACACTGCACAGTCAAGCAATTAATGCTGAAAGTTTTTATCTCCTGCAAAACTGCATACATACACATAACACGGGTACATATGCATACAGACATACATACAGGCACATGGACCCAGAAAAATACACACAGACACACACACAGGCACACACACAGGCATACACACAGACAAACACACAGACAAACACACAGTCACACATAATGCAAGCACATACACACAAAGGTACACACAGGGGCACCAGGTAAAGGGGAAGTCTGGGATTGTGTTACCTTTTATTAATATCAAAATCCTTGCACAATGATTACAAGACAGAATGAGGAATCTGGGCCTCGTCACCAGCTGCTCTGCTCTTCCCGCTGCAGGACCTCCTCTCCTCCACTGCTGATATAACCTCATTCCCAAAAAGCAATGGGGAAGCTCCAAGCCTTGCCTCTGCCAGCTCTCACACCATCCAAGAAACCACCCTACTATCCGGTCACATATCACCAGAGAAGACCACGTGCTCTTTGTGCCAAGCCACCCACAATACAATTGACTATCAGACCGAATTCCCTAAACACAGATGTGCACACACAGGCGCACACATACAGCACATAAGAAACAATACGTAGGTAGAGGCAGACTACTTAGGAAACTCACATTGGCACTTATGAAGGAGGTGTCTTAATGAAACCAGGACTGTAGTGAAGTCCCTACTGCCGTTTGTAACTAGAGTTACAGCTCTTCAGCTCTTCAGTCTTATGTTCCTCTAACCCCTGTGTTCTCCCTTCTTTAGAATGTGAGCACTTTAGGGCATGTGTTTCTAATGGAGACCATTTCCGTCAAAAGTCAAACTGAGCCGGGAACCTGGTCTACAAAGTGAGTTCTAGGACAGCCAGAGCCACATAATTACGAGACCCTGTCTCATAAACAAACAAGCAAAAGGAAATATAGAGCCAAAAAACATAAGAAAGAAAAAAATAATAGTCAAATTTGGATCCAGGGGATTGTCCTCATTTTTTTAAAATTCATTTGTTATGGATACAGTGTTCTACCTCTACTCCAGAAGAGGGCACCGAACCTTATTATAGATGGTTGTGGGTCAACATGTGGTTGCTGGGAATTGAACTCAGGATCTCTGAAAGAGCAGACAGCGCTCTTAATCTCTGAGCTAGCTCTCTAGCCCATTTTTTAAAAATGATTTATTTATTTTTGTTTTGTGTGCATTGGTGTTTTGCCTGTATGCATGTCTTTGTGAAGATAGCAGATCCCCTGGAGGTGGAGTTACAAACAGTTTTTAGCTGCCATGTGGGTACTGTTTTGTATGAAGCAGTGAGTGCCTGTGTAGTATCTGACCTGAATTTTCTGTTCTTTGATGAGCTTAGCATGGTAGGAAATGTAACAATTCCCTAGGATACTGATCAAACACTCCTTGCACTAAGGAAGGACACCTCCAAAGGACATCTAGTATTTTATTTTTTTACTTCCTGAAGATTTTCATAAGTTGATCGATAAGGTTTTCTCTTGCATTGAAAGGAAGTTTGTGCCTGTTTACTTAAAAATGTGTTGTAACTCAATTTCTGCCCTATACTTCCTGCTTATTAATCATTCAGCCATTTTTGCATTAAATAAAAGCTTACCGTGCACAGCGCTTATGTGGTGGGTCAGTTCCGGTGTGGAGAACAGCTTTGTTTGCCTATTGTCTCCTTCAGTAACCCTTACTTATTTTGGGTCACTTTCTAAAAGTTTTTGTTTCTTGTCTCCATTGATGCATAGAAGGAATTTGGGTTTGCTTTTTTCTTTTCTTTTTTTTCTTTTTCTTTTTTTTTAAATCTCTTTTGGCCTTGAATTCCTGATAATCTTGCTTTATTTTCAGGAGTGTGTTAAACATATTAGTTGAGTGGGAGGCAGGCATATTTTCTTTCCCCAGGCCTTGAGAACATGATTAGAAGGGAGAGGAGGTGGCAGGAGGTGGTGGAGGCTACCAAGCATGACAGTTACTTTCTGTAGACTGAATTGCAAATAGTTCTCCAACTTCCAATGGCGCATCCTGTAATTTAAGATGGAATACCGCTCATAACCACGCAGAACTTTCCCCCTTTGTACTCCCCGCCCCCGTGAACAAAATTTTTCAGATGTCTATTACCCTTGAGGAAGGTAGGTGCTATTTGTCTCAGTAGATGTCGATTAGGGCAGGTCTGTGGTGAAGTGGTCAGCAGGGGTCATTTCTGTTTCCCGGTCTTCCTTGATTACCGAATTGTTGACATAAAATGAAACAATGGCTCTAGCCCTGGGAATCCTGGAATTCTCCCCTTTAGTCGCCCTCAGTAAAGAAATCCTTTTTATCTCCAGTTTTCCAGCTCCACTTGGAACTTTTTCCATGTCCTTAGATCTATAGCTGAATTAGAACCAGGAAGATTTTGGAAATAAACATCACACTTTCTGTTCTGAAGCTTTGAGAATTTTACTAGGGAACTACAGAGGTATTTTTATTATTATTTTTATTTTGAAATGATGCTATACATGCATCTTTTCCTCCTCCTTTCCAGTGTTGGCTTCCACACAGGCGAATGAACCTGTAGGCTAGATGTCAGAAAAAGGTAGTGCAGAGCCTGGCAAAAACAAACAAAAAACCCAA